GCACTTAAGCTCCGTTTCTAGAGCATTCCCTGGCCCCGATGAGAGCGAACTGTTGTTTATTTGCCCTTTGAGCTAAGGGGCAACTGTTTTATGCCACTACGAACGCAAGCACCGACACAGGCCTGCAACTGGGTTTATTTATTTCTCGATTCTATTTATATGGACTATTTGGGAGCCTTTCTAAATGAACTTTTTGGAGTTTGAAAAAAGGAAAACAAAAAGTTTTATTTTGAAATCAATTTTTATTTCTTTCGTTTGTATATCTTTGTTTTTTAAATTTTTTATTTAATTTAGTGCATTTGGAAAGATAATTTTGTACCAGATTGGTTGTGTTTATTATTTATATTAATTGGTATCAGGTAATGGGTTTCTTTTTGGCATTACAATACAAATTAGAGCAATCTAATTTATAAGAATCAAGAACATGCAAACTTCACACATACGCTAACTGACCCAGGTGGGACTCGAACCAGCCACCTTCTATGAGAGGTGACAGTGCCAACCACTGAGCCACCGTGTCACCCTGATAATCCAAATTGTTTGCAAATATTTAAGAAATGCGACAACATTACATGCAGCTTCTTTGTGTTCCTTTATGACTTGTGTCGTTTGCTTGGTTTCGTCACATTTTGTGGCCACTTTTTGATTAGTTCTCCTCTCTTTTGTAGCCAATCAAAGCCCTCACTTTTACTGATGGTTGACGCCAGTTACACATGCTTAATTGGGTACACTTCCTTTGTTATGAACCTGATAAAAGGCGACATGTGGAACACAGCAAACAAACATACTAGATTGACAGACGCTCACAAATGACCTGATGCTGCCCAATACCTGACTGTCAACTTGGTGTGTAAATCCTGGGGGATTCTGATAGATTGTTCAATGTTTTTACAGTTTATCAACTGGATAAGTGATTCCGCTATATTGTTTTTGGCTTCACTGTTAATATAGATATATAACAGTTCTTAATACTTGACCGTCCCTTGGTGTGAATTGGCTTTTTTTTAACAAAAATTTTATTTACAGATACTCAGGCCATCTAATTTAGATGTCTAGTTTTATTGTAGCACAACAAAAAGGCATTTTTGGCAAAATTTTGGTTTGTGGTGATTCATAAAATCTAAGTCAATGGCTGTCGGCACTTAGAAAGTCAAAAAACATTCAAGCAAAGCTTAATAAATACCTGTGGCCTCTGTTGATGCAATGCTTGATGACAATTCAAGTTTTATAAAGCGAAACAATTGATCTTTTAAGCAAACCAGCACAATATTATTTAAAACATTATTACCTTTAATTCAGAACCTCTGGTCTGCAAACTTCAGGACTATTTGCTGAGGCTGTTGTTAAAGATTGTAGAACAAATTCAGTTTCTTGCACAGACCAAACATTTCAATTCAAAAAGCTTCAATGGATCATTAGGACCCACATGTATTAAACCTGTTCTCTATACGATAGGCCTGGGCAGCTATAAGATTCTGACTGTATAATAACCTTGTATTAAAAAATCACGACTATGTGATTACTGCTGTAAAATATTGTTTTTTTAAATATCAACATTTTCCCCATTGAACACAATATATTTTATTTTAAGTAACATTTAAGAAAAAAAAATTGCAACAGTAAACATGCCAGGCTAAGTAATTAAAATAAATCAACACGTTAAAATGTAGGAACGGTTTTACAGAAAATTTTAGAGGTTTTAATACCTTGACATTTCCAAACTTCGGTAAACCTTGAAATCAGTTATCGTCTCATGCCTACTATACGACACTGTTAAGGTTCCAAACAGTAGGAAATGACTATAGGTCTTTGCAGCCAGACTTGTATTTTCCTGTTTTTGCATCTCCTTTTCCACATTCCCGGCCTTCCGATTGAAAACACGGAAGTTGGCGGTTTTGTTAAAAGGATGCCACACAATTAGACAAAAGCTTTTCTAGACCACTCAATCACTGCAGCTGTTTTCATAATCAGTGATTGCTTAAAGGGATAGTACACCCAGAAATGTAAAGTCACTCATCCTCCATCTCTACCCAAACATATTCACTAACTTTCTACAGAAACATTTTACTTTGATGGTCCATTTAAGTATTAGAAACTTTGCAAGTACATGTCAACTTACACTAAGCCTAACCCCAACCTAACAGTCTATTTATAATCCAATGATAATTAGTTAGCATGTTGATGCAATGTATCATTGCATTGTAGAAGATATTCTGATGAACGTCGGATGAAACGTTCTTTTGTGTTTAAAAGGACAAAGAAGCTCATAAAGGTTTGTGAGCTTGTGTGAGAACAGCTTAAAACATGAGACTGTTGGAACGCATGAAGGTTATGGTTTGCTTTCACATTTCAGAATGATTATGAGTTAACTATACTGATTTGTAGCCAGCAAGCAACTACCCATAACACCCTAGCAACCACTTAGTAACGCCTTGGCATCAACTCAAAGCTCCGGATCATAGCAGTGAGATTACAAGCAAATGCCCCTTCATAACACTGGCATGAGAAACAACACTGTCTTTTAAAACACAGACATATACAGGGTTTGGTCCTGTCAAAGGGGCTTTACTCTGGTTTACAGCATCTGCTGTTGACATGAATAGTGTTCTGTGCTGCCTATGTACCCACAAAACCCATTGGGAGGGAGCTTTTTTTCCAGTCAAATGCACCACTGTATGCCTATGAGCCAGCATGGCTGTGGTGCTTTAATGATGTCTATTAAGAAAAGACTGTGATGGGGTTTAAGGGTTGGGCTGTGGTTTAGCTTACTGATTGCTACTGGATCAATTGAAACTTCTCACTGCTTACATTTTTTTTGCCCTCTTTAGAAGCTTGTAATATTGTAAACATATACATGCATATTTCATTTCTGTACCCATTTTGGTCAAAGTTTATTTTCATGGTCTGTTTGATGAATTTAAGTTATATTGCATCTACATGCCAACTAACTCTCATTCAGATTATAAGTAGACTGTTAGATTGGGGTTAGGGTTGGGGTTAGGGGAAGTTTTTTTTTTTGTATATTATATTGTTATTTTGACCTTAAAGCAACACAGAACAATACAAAAAGCAACAACAATTATAAAGACAGAAAAGAAAAGCCAAAAAAAGGACAAAAGACAGAATCTTTTAAAAATATATATTACATCAGTACCTCCAGTGTTATACAAAGGTTAACAATGTTACACATATATTTTTAGGCCAGTGGGCACTGGCAATATGGTATTCTTGCCGACAATAACAGGGTAATTAAACTGTTATCCTTGGCATTTGATAGATAATTAAAAAAGGGTTTCCGGGTGGCTTCAAAGCCAATAACATTATCAGAAAGATCGTGTCTAAGTCTCTCTAAATGTAAAGTGCTGGAAAATTCTGAAAGCCAGGATTTAAAAAGGTATTTTAGATGCCTTTTTCCATAGACAAAGAATATATTTTTTTAGTTATCACCATTCCATATTTGACAGCTTTTTTAATTTGATGACTGAACCCACAAAGTGAGTCCGACTAACCAAAAATAGCAATTGCTAGATCAGGGGCGAGATCACAACAATAAAAAAAATTTAAAAATCAGAAAATTTCGCTCCAAAACTCAAAAAGTTTTGGCATGACCATCAAAAGGTCATGGCACCCCCCACTTTCGGTTCAGGTCTATCTCAGAATTTTTTCAAAAGATGCATCATAATGGGCTTGGAGCTCCGCGAGCAAAGGCCAGGGGTGGGCGTGGCCAGCAGGGGAGAAGGAGGGGAGTTGTTGTCAGTTAGCTCACAAAATGAGACACAAACTGTGAGGAGACGCATGATTTTATAGTTTGCCAAGTTAAAATAAGAAAATAAAAAGAAATAAACAGTAATTTAATGCCCTGCTACATTTGTTATTCATAATTTCATATACAGATAACCACAATATATATCATTATAAAGATAAGCGTGTTAACACTATAAAGAAGGACTTTTCCCTCAATCCCCTGGTCTGAATGCAGACTCAGTGCAGCAGGTCTCCTGCCCAGCGTATTTTAACCATTAGCCCTGCTGGTAATCTAGAGGATTTAGGCAAACACAGCAGCACGGCGATATGTCTAAATGTGGACGAACTCTTGATAAAAGACAACGTCCATCATTCTCCAATTTTCGTACTGCTCTCTCGACAAAAATGCTTGCTGGACACAACAGCTTTGCTGTGTCAGCCCTGACAGGATCACGGGGAAAAACATGCAATGAACCCCGTGGGTCATGGAAACAAACACATACGACCCTTCATGAACAGTTAAATATTGTGTGCCATGGGTCCGTGTCTCACAGCTTGCTTGGTACTGGCAGGTCTGTCTTGCCTTTGGAAAGCACGTGCAGTCATGAATAATTAAGAAGCAGGCTCTTCTCATAGGATAAGAAAACTCTGTTATGAATAATAATGAGAAACCGACGCGTCATCTTTGCACTTGCAGTTCTGCGCTACGACGCCGATTTTGATCCCGCCCCAAAAATCATTATAAACCCGGAAGCTGAAATTAGCTGACAAAAGCTCTAAATTATCCAGTTTTACCCACAATTAAAGCTAACAGTTGCTAACATTGTCTTAACTGATGCTCAACACACACAAATCTGTTAAAATCTCAAAAAAAGTAAGAAGACTGCAGATTCACATTTATTACAATTAGAGGAAATGGAGGGGTAGAATTTGTTAAGCTTAACCTTAGAATAATGAAACCAATGTACTACTTTATATTGGATTAATTGGTGTCTTGAGTTAATAGAACATTGATTTGTGACCTTGATAGACTGGTTAGAGTAAGTTGACATGTACTTGCCAAGTTTCTTATAGTCAGTTAAATGTCTTTTGAAGGAGCAGTATCAGCAGATATTATGCAGACAGTCTACTAATACTACAATGGACCATCAAAATAAAGTGTTACTACAGTTTCTTCTTATGTTAGATCTTTAAAGCTTCTGCTATGCTATTCTTAATAGGTTTGCTGTATTTAGTATGATCTGTTTGTTTTGTAGGGAGCTCGTGTGTGGGTTCGGGACAAGGAGCAGCTCTTGCCATCCACCGTCAGCTGCTGTGATGACCGGACCCTCATCCTGACCACCGACTATGGAGAGGTAAGAGAAACTGTCAGCTGTTAACTTATTTACAGTAGGTAGCGGCTTTAAAACAATGTTTCAGCTGTTTTAAAGAATGAATGTTGTTTCTCGTCTCATGTCCTTCCAAACCTCCAAGGAATATCAAAGACAATGCTGGCTATGGTGTGTTTTGTTCAATAAAATAGGTTAAAGACATTTTTTCAGATATTCTGATTTTGTTAAATAGTCTTGGAACAATGTGTATAAATAAAAGATGGAACAACTTTAATCTTGGGCTGAACTATTTTTTTATTAATCTAGTGTCCAATGCACAGTATTGTTCTATTGTAGTGTAAGCTATTGCAATGTAAATGCTTAAGGGTGAATTGATTCTCATTGGCTGTCAATGTTTTTTTATGGCTCAACATCTGGTAAACATAGTTATTAAAGCGAATAATCCCACAAAGCAACATTTTTTCTGGCCCAGTTCTGGCCCACACAATTTTTTGTTGACCCAAATGCTAAAGTAAATTACAGTACATGACTGGACCAAGTCTGACTTCCAGACAAGGGCCAAACATGGAGCATATCTGGGACAAGTCTCAGCCAAGTTAATAATCCATAACTGGGCCTGAAATGGGCTAAATATGTTTGTGTGTCACAACTGCAATTAAATCGATAAACCCATGAAACATTGCACTTTAGTTGCACTCTGGGCATACTTTTTCTTAAAGCGACCTGATTGGTAGAATTTTTTACTTACTCACAAATAATTTACATTTATTTTAAATGTGGGTCAATATAGGCTAAACTTATGTGGCCCACATATCAATGTTTAACATCTGGGCCAAATGCACATTTTACATCGGGTCCAAGTCTTGTGTGCCCCCTTAAAGATAGTACCACCTCTGACAAAACCTTTGAATGCCAGTGCCAGATGAATGGTTGGTGTGCCAGCTTTATGCCAAATCTGGGCCAGAATTCTTTGCTACCTGGGATATTGTTGTGATAATGTTCTTCTGTATTGTTATTGACATGGTTTTCTGGAATTTGTGGATATTATAAACTATATTTTATAAGATAATAACCTGTCCTTGGTGAGAGCAGCCTTTGTAGACTGAAAATTTGATCTACAATTTGATTTTGTTTGTGACCAGACCAGATTTCACTATTGTTTTTTTGACAGTTACTCTTTATTTCAATGCATCTAGACATTTTGTTTAGTTCAAGTTGCTTTGTAACCACATGTATTATAAACATACAGGTACTGGAGTATTAGTAGACATAGTATACTTGAGTTCTGCTGACAACTGATTTTTATGGTCCCCCAACAGCCATTCTGCTGACTATAAGTAACTTTCCATGTATGTCATCTTCTATTCTATTTACCCAAGCATAGTAATATTTAGGGTGACCATCTCATGTTTTCAGTATTTCCCGTATTATTATTTTTTTCTGTGTTACAGCTTTTTATGAAAATACATACCCACATATAAATTTTCCTCAAATTTTGCAGTTGCTGAGTGCTAGTTGCCCTTTGTCAAGAAAAAATAGTGACCAATCGAGAGTGTTGAGATAAAGTTTAATACAATTTCTATAAATTAAAAAAAAAAATCTAAAAATCTAATAATTTAGCAAGCTAAAAACAAGTATGAGCATTAGAAGGTATGTCGAAAACTTGTCCCAAATAACAATGTAAATGAATAACTTCCCTTACAAAATGAAATCATGGTTTTACTATGGTAAAACTGTCATAGCAGAATTATGAAGAATGTCAATAGAGTGACATAAAAGTTATTGAACTCCAGCATGAGGCCGCGTTGCAAAACAACCGATCTGTGTCTGATTTGGGACCACATGTGGAAGTGGCCAAGATCAGAATCTGAATGATCAGATTCTAAGTGCAATTTTAACTGCTGTCATTAAAATAATCAGAAATATAATCTAATTTGGTTTAAATTTGACCATAGTCTGAACATAGCCTCATAGTCAATAGAATGTCTATAGGAGAGCATCATAATTAAGCATAACAACTCGTTTTAAATAAACTGAATGGCCACCAGCCTGAGCGAGACAAACATTTGACTGTAAATGTCTTACATACGGTACGGTATGATTCGACTGATCTGCAGTTTTTCACCACTACAGAAAGACCTTTGATATGAATAGCAGGAATGTCCAAAAGGGAGCCAAGTTTAGCCACTGCGTTTAATCAGCATGGCCCTCTGTTAGAGCTTTGTGTCTGGAGGAAATCCTGTTCTCAAAGCACAATGAGAATGCAGGTCACAATATATTTATCAGATGTGTGTCAACATGTAGCCTGCGTGCTTTGTTCTACTGCTTCAGAATGCCATATATAGGTGCATATATGTTTAAATATCACTTTCACATCGATATGATATATGTTTTTCTCAGATTTATCTGCCTATATCTGGGCCAGGTAGTCTTTCTGTGTGGAGTTTGCATGTTCTCCCCATATTTGGGTGGGTTTCCAATGGGTGCTCCTGATTTCCCTACGGTTAAAGACATGCGGTATAAGTGGATAAAGTAAATTTGCCGTAGTGTCTGTGTGAATTGCAGTGTGTGTTTGGCTATTTCCCAGTACTGGGGTTTGCACAAGTTAGAGCACTCTCAGGGTATCTGCGAGTATAACATGTAAATGGTAGGTTTAATTCATTTTCTTTTCGGCTTAGTCCCTTTATTCATCAGAAGTTTGTTTGTTTGTTTGTTTGCTTTATTTATAGAGCACATTTAAAAACAACAGATGTTGACCAAAGTGCTTTACAAAACGACCAGCATACAAAATCTATACCTATATATAAAAAATTTGCAAAATATATAAAACAGATTAAAATTAATTACAATCAAAGGCAAGAGACAGAAGGTGATTTTTTAGATGAGACTTAAAAGCACCAAGTGAAGAACATGACCGGATCTGTAAAGGCAGACCATTCCACAGTCGGGGGGCTGCAGCAGAAAAAGCCCTGTCACATCTTGATTTCAACCGCGTTTTGGGGACAACTAGCTGAAATGTGTTTTCAGACCTGATTGGCCTCAATGAAGTGTGCCAGTGAAGAAGCTCAGAAATGTAAGTCGGTGCCAGACCATTCAAACTTTTAAAAACTAGAAGCAATAATTTATATTGAATTCTAAATTGGACAGGGAGCCAGTGAAGAGACAATAAAACTGGTGAGATACTAGAGAATTTTTTTGTCCCAGTTAAAAGCCTAGCAGCTGCATTTTGAACCAGCTGCAGGCGTGCTATTGATGCCTGTGAAACTCCAGAATACAAAGAGTTACAGTAGTCCAGTCTTGACATAATAAAAACATTAATGACGGTTTCCAGCTCTTTAAAAGAAAGAAAAGGCTTCAATTTGGCAATGTTCCTTAATTGATAGAAACCACTTTTGACGACTGAGTTTATTTGCTTGTCAAACTTTAACTCAGTGTCAAAAGTAACTCCAAGATTTTTTACGTGACTGTGGACCTTAGGCTTGATCGAACCTAATTTATTAATTGTAGATTCACAGACACTCGGAGGACCAAACACTACTACTTCAGTTTTTGATTCATTCAAGTGTAAGAAATTTCCAGCCAGCCATTCCTTAATCTCGTTAAAACAGGTGAAAAAGGACTGTAAAACAGAATTTTCTCCCATTTTTATAGGCAAGTAAAGCTGAGTATCATCAGCATAGAGGTGGTAGCTTACATTATGCTTCTTACAAATTGCTGCCAAGGGAAGCATGTAGATAGAGAAAAGAGCTGGGCCCAAAATTGAACCTTGGGGGACACCACACTCCAAACGTGCAGATGAGGAAGAAAAGTTACCCAATTCAATAGAAAAGGTCCTCCCTGAAAGATAAGAACTAAACCAATTTAAAACATTTCCTTGAATCCCAGCCCACAATCTTAAACGCTCAATCAAGATATTGTGATGTATTGTGTCAAATGCCGCAGTCAGGTCTAGTAAAATTAGAAGTGCGCATTTTCCAGAATCAACCGTCAGAAAAATATCATTAGACACTTTTAGGAGAGCTGTCTCAGTGCTATGCCGTGTCCTAAAACCAGATTGAAATTTGTCAAGAATGTCATTTCCAATTAAGTGACTAGAAAGCTGTTGAAAGACAACTCTCTCCAAGATTTTAGACTGAAAAGACAATTTTGAAATTGGTCGATAGTTTTTTAAATCTGATGAATCTAGATTGGGTTTTTTTAAAAGGGGTTGTACTACAGCATGCTTAAAACAAGAAGGTATGACTCCACTCAGCAAACTAGAATTCACTATTGATAGAAGGTCTAATCCAACCACCTCCAATACCTGAATGAAAAGATGTGGAGGGATAATATCCAGTGAACAATGGGAGGGCTTCATATGGAGGACCAAGTCCACCAAATCATGTAACGTGATTGGTTTAAATTAATCCAAAAAGTGTGCTAGTGAAGGTGGGATGGTACTGTCAAGGAAAGCGTCTTGAAGCAGAATCCCAGCTCTAAGGGCTTCAATTTTACTAATAAAAAACTGTAAAAACTTTTCGCATGTTGTCTGGCAAATAGCAAGACCAGACGTAGTCTCAGTGTTTAAGGCTAAGTTAATTGTTTTAAAAAGAACTCTAGGGTTATTAGGAGCCTTTTTTATGAGATTAGCAAAGTATTCTGCTTTTGCGGCTTTAACTGCCTTCTGATATTTAATCATAGAGTCTTTTAAAATTCCATAATGCACCTGCAGTTTAGTTTTCTTCCATATTCTCTCCGCTTTTCTCCATAGCTGACGAATGCTACGGGTATCACTATTTAGCCACGGTTGTTGTTTGGCTTTAGGTTTTAAAATTTTCAAAGGAGCACACAGCTCCATGATTTCATTACAAGTGGAATTAAATAGTGACATTGACTCATTTATTTCCAACCCAAAAGGCAGAGATGGAAGTATTGAATAAGCCTTCGTAAAATCACTGGCCGTTGAAGGATTCAAGCAACGAGCACGACGGTCAGGTGGTTTGCTATTTAAAAAGGGGCTGGGAATTTGAATATTAAAAACAACT